GGTGGAGCTGGGGCAGTGATGTTAGAGCGGGGGCTGTCTGGTTGCAGGAAAACAAGCTCAGGGCTCCCATGGATTCTGCCTTATGGTGAGTTGTATAATTCTTTCATTATATAATTAATAAAGATAGAAATAAAGTACACCATAAATGTAATGTACTTGGGTCACCCCCAAACGATTTCCCCCCTCTCCCCTCTGGTCTGTGGAAAAATTGTCTTCCATGAAACTGGTCCCTGGTGCCAAAAAGTTTGGGGACCATTGGTATAGGCTATTGCTCCCAGGCGCCAAACCTGTGCAGCATGTTACTATGCTGAAAACTGAAGATATACACAACAGTAAGTGTGTGTGTATCTAAACTAGGGTGACCAGACGTCCCGATTTTGGTGGGACAGTCCTGCTTTTCAACAATTTGTCCCAGTCCCACAGCATTTTAAAAAAGTCCCGATTTTTGGAAAGAATGCACCAACTGGCTGGAGAACAAGAAGGGAATATACGGTTTTCAGCCGCCATATGGCTATTTTGCCAGAATATGAGTTATATATTATTTTTGTTAATTTTATAATGTTAAACTGTAATAAATAATTGCTGAGAAGTGATTATCGAGAACTGCTTATCAAAGTTTGCATTGCTGTCAGGCCCTGCCTGCCCCGCCCCCGCTCCGCCCCCGTGCCATGTTGTCCCGCCTTACAGATGCTAAAATCTGGTCACCCTAATCTAAACACACCTAAACATAGAAACGGTATGGTGAAAATACAGTTTTATAATCCTATGAGATCACTGTTGTATATAGGGTCTGTCCTTGACCAGAATGTCATTATGCAGTGTATGACTGTGTGTGTGTAATTTATATAGAGATGTAAACATATATTCAAAGTATAGATACATAGTGAAAGTATCTATACTCAAGGTATATATGTATATAAAGTTTGAACAGACAAATGAAATAGATAAAATCTTGACCAGTTAAATATATTACATAGGACACTTTTAGTTGTACTTACATCAATCTCAGTTGTGATTACAGATGGCAAAATTCTAATAAAATACTAGCAAGCTATATTTAGCGGTGAATTAAAGATAATATACCATCTTCAAAGCAGAATTCTATCATAATTCGTTACATGAGCCGATTAATGGAGAAAAAGTGTATAATTGCATCTATAAATACTAAGAACATATTTGATGCAACTCATCAGATATTCCAAGTTAAAATAAAAATGGATTAAAATATAAGTAGAAGGAAGCTGCTTAAATAAATAAATTATCCAAGGCAACTGCAGGTATCATGATGAACCATGTGATATTTGAAGCACCTACTAAAATCAGGAGCAAGGGGCATGTAGGGCTATGAGAAAACACAATTCCGTTCTGCTCTGAAGGACACTAACAGATACTGAAGAAATGACCCTGAAATGCGCCTGATAGGATGACTTAACAGTAGTAAATTAAAAAAATCTAAATTAAAGTATTTAGGGCTATTTTAACCCGAATCTTATGTTTTTAACTTTTAGAACTAGGAAAAATGATCTTAAAATTTATTTGGAATAATAAATATCTTAGAAAATCCAAGAAAATTTTGAAAAAGAAGACTTTGTATAGCAACTTGCCTTTCTGAATATTAAATTTATGCTAAAAGCTGTCAGTGATAGAAGCAGTACATTGGCACAGGAGCTGATAAATATGCCATGACTATATTTATGTATTTGCATATAGAAGAGTGTAGAAACAGATCCATTTATATAGATATTTTGATGAATGACAAAATATCATCTTAATAGGAAATTCTGGCTTGTATATAGTTATAAGCATGATTTGCCATCTATCTGGAAGAAAATAGATTTAGAACTCTATGTCTTATTCAAAGTTAAATTCCAGATGGATTAAAGCTCTAGATATTAATACCCAATATAAAATTACAGAAGTATATTTTAGAGAATAAAATTTAGATAATTTGTTCACATAATAGCCTCAAAATGAAAATAAATGCCCCAAATTTGTAAAACATTATAGCCTCAGCTGGGTGCAATGGCTCTGACACTTTGGGAGGCTGAGGTAGGAAGATCGCTTGAGTCCAAGAGTTTGAGACCAGCCTGAAAGAGAAAGACCTTGTCTCTCCAAAAAATAGAACAATTAGCTGGGTGTGGTGGCATGAGCCTCTAGTACCAGCCACTTGGGAGGCTGAGCTGGGTAGATTGTTTGAGCTCAGGAGTTCATGGTCAGTCTGAACAGAGTGAGACCTCATTTCTACTAAAAATAGAAAAACTAGCCAGGTGTTGTGGTGGGTGCCTGTAGTCCCAGCTACTTGGGAGGCTGAGGAAGAGGATCACTTGAACCCAGGACTTTGAGGCTGCTGTGAGCCAGGATGCCACAGCACTCTACCCAGGGCAGCACAGTGAGACTCTGTCTCAAAAAAAAAAAAATTCTATTAAATAAAGAACTTCTAAAAATTGATAATAAAAAAAAAAACTCAAGTAAAAAACGGGCAAAGCTTATAAAGACAATTATTTGAACAAGAAAGATAACTGGCTAAATAAATATTCCTAAAAATTAAGCCCTTCCTCTCCAGTAATCAGGAAAATGTAAAAGAAGACAGAAGTGAAAGTCTGTTTGTCCCCAGCATATGGGTAAAGTTTACGAAGGAGCAGTTAGCTGCACTGTCGTGAGGCTGACGGAAGGGGCCGGTCACACACCATCCTGAGAATGCGAATGACTTATCTTTTTGAAAAAAACCTAATAGAAACAACCTCACCATTTTATTTGGTTTTGTACGATTTTGTTTGTAGAGGCATAAATATGTAAACATTCTCATCATCCGTGGGGAAATGTTTGAAAGTATTTGATATTCAGCAGATAAAAGAATGAGTTGGAACCATATGAATTAACCTGGACGAATGCCCATGTTCTATTAAGCTGGAAAGTGAGTTGTGCACTTCGTGTTCCCATTTCTATTAAAAAACAAATAGCTATCAACGCCCCCAAATAGCCTTTATGTATTAGGACAGAGTATTCTAAAATCACATTATCATAAATAATATAGGTGGGTGGGATGGGAGAGTAAGTGTCTGGCTAATTCGCTCCCATGAGCTTGCAGTGCCTCTGTAATAAAAATAACCTGGGGCTTGAAAAGGCTGGGACCTACTTCGCAAGTAGAAAGAGCATTCAGGGCTCAGCGCCTGTAGCTCAACCAGCTAAGGCGCCAGCCACGTACACCTAAGGTGGCGGGTTCAAATCCAGCCTGGACTCGCCAAACAACAATGACAGATGCAACCAAAAATAGCCAGGCGTTGTGGCGGGCACCTGTGGTCCCAGCTACTTGGGAGGTGGAGGCAGGAGACTCGCTTGAGCCCAGGAGTTGGAGGTTGCTGTGAGCTATGTCACGGCACTCTACCCAGGGGGACAGGTTGAGGTTCTGTCTCAAAAAAAAAAAAAAAAGAAAGAACATTCAGTAGGAGTTGTAGACCTGGTCCTGCCCCTCACTTGCAGTGTGGTGGTTCCTGCCTTTATTTTCTTATCTCTAAAGTGTGTGTGGTAATGACTGTCCTACCTACTTAGGTTACAGTGCTGTTGTGGAGATAAAAGGAAGGGTGAAGGTAAATATAATTTGAATAGTTAAAAGATATAGAAGTGCGAGCTATTATCCCCAAGATAATCAATTTATATGATGTAGGTGAAGGAGGAAGCATCTTCCCTTCCCAATGGTGATGAAGTGGGAGAGGCACAGAGCACTGCAGAGGTAAGGGCTGGTTTGTTTGTTTGTTTTTAAGATAGAGTCTCTTTTTGTCACCGAGGCTGGAGTTGGATGGTGTGATCATAGCTCACTGCAGCCTCCAACTCTGGACTCAAGCAATCCAGAAGGCCATGGCCTCCTGAGTAGATGGGACTTTGGGCATGAGTCACCATGACTTGCTAATTTTTCTAGTTTTGTAGAGATGGGATCTTGCTGTGTTGCCCAGGCTGTTCTTAAACACCTGTGCCTAAGAGATCCTTCCATCTTGGCCTTCCAAGTGCTGGAATTGCAGGTGTGAGCCACTGTGCCTAGCTGAGGCTGCTGTTTTGGACAGTCCTCCTCCATACCGTCCTCAGAATGTCCACTTAGTTCTCACCTTTCTCTATGTCTACTTGTCTGTCTCTCCACCCTACCATGTTTCCCCCAAAATACAACCTACCCCCAAAATAAGCCCTAGCAGGATTTCTATTTATTTGTTAAATGTAAGCCCTACCCTGATAATAAGACCTACTGATGCATTTCTGTGTGGAGCGGTAAGGAAGACTGGAATACCTTTTATCTGCCACAGCTCCTTTCTCCTAGCCATTCGCACTTGCACGAGTGTGCATGTGCTAACTGTGGTCGCAGGCATCCTATTGCACACGTGTGAATGACTAGGGGAAAGGAGTTCACGCATCACTACGCCAGCCCCACCAACAAGGTCGACTCCCCCTGTCAGGTTCCAGAAGAAGATGACTTAACTGTATTTGAATAAATGTAGATTGTTGTATTGTACTTAATAAAAATAAGACATCTCCCGAAAATAAGCCCTAGTGTGTGTTCTTGAGAAAAAATAAATATAAGACAGTGTCTCTTATTTTCGGGGAAACACGGCATCTGTCTGTCCATCCATCTATCAATGTACACCTACCTGCCCACCTTATCTGATTTTCAGCTCTGAATTATAAAGCCTCCCTGCCTTTATAAACACTGTAAACCCTGCCTTTTCTGGAGTTCCTGCGTGAGCCTTAGTGGATGATCTGAAACTCCTCACTCGGGCAGTTAGTACTCTACAGGGTGGGTCCGCTCTGTGGACTTGCCCTGTCAATCCCACAGCATTTTGGGGGTTTGGCTCTGTGCTCTAGAAGCTAAGCGACCTAATAAATAGAAGGTCTATGCCTGCTTCATTTATGAACCATGTCCCTAAATAAGAAGGCCACGCACATCCTGGGTGGTGTGGTGTTTTGCTGGGATCTTATCTAAGGTTCTTCATACCCTGGGTTTCCTTTATGACCAGGGAACCGAGAAGGCTGAAGAAGGCGGAGAAAGTGAGGCACAGAAAGAGGGTGGTGAAGATGCGGGCGACCTCCCTGGATCGCAGAAGAAGGTGAGTGTTTGCTTTTTTTCCAAGTTTGTTTGGACTCAGTCTGTTCAGCCGACACCTGCTGGGCTTCTGCTGCAGATTCTGGGTGCACAGCAGTGAAAGAGAAAGTGGGGAGCAGAGCAGAGCACTTAGCAGGGAGGAAGCTGGTGCATGTGTTGACTGCCAGGTACAGAGGGGCTGAAGGGAGGGCAGGGGAAGGGGCCCAGGCCCGAGGGGCCAGCCAGCCAGCAAGGTTTCAGCATTTGTTGTGGTGTGGCTATGGGTAGGTCAGGTGCATGTTCTTTACCAAACACGGGGCCTGGCTGCTCAGTCATGATTGCTGACTGACTCCCAGCATACACCACCCAAGAGCCTTGCCCACTGGGGAAACAGGGCTGAGAAGCTGGAGTGTACTTGTGGGAAGACAACAGGAACTTGAGGGGGGCTTGAGGTTGCTGACGCTGACTTCAGATCTGATCAGGGACACAGCTGAGCCCAGGGAAGTTACATGATTAATTCTAAATGGGCTCCAGGTGTGTGGGGGGATGGGCTAAGGTTGGGGGTAGGGGAGGGAAACTGTAGTTCTTTAAATACTAAGCTGAGATAATGGGGGACTGGATGGGCCCCTTATTCAAGGAATTCCAAAAATACTGTGAGAAGCCAGATATCGGAGGCCTTGGCTGCAGAGGGAGCCTGGAGGGTGGAGCCTCCCTGTGGGAGGACTGTGCTGGACGGCTGCACTGGGCCGGGTGCAGCAAAGATGGTGTATCAAACCCTGGTGGTTTGCATGCTTATTAATTCCAGAAGAAAGTGGTGTGGGCCCTTTTACAGAGTAGGACCCTTGTTTTTAGCAGGTAGAATTGTCTAGGAAGGGGCTGAGGCCCACAGCCACACCATAGAGAGTGGGGGTGCAGGACTTGTCTTTAGGAATTTAAATTTGGGAAGGGTGGGGCAGTACATTTCCTCCTGTTTAGACTTATATTTAAAATAGGCTGCTGTTTTAAAATGTCAATAATTTATAACTCTGAAGTTTTTTGTTCTGTAGAAAGATAAAATCTTCAATCCTAACTTAGAAGTTGGATGAGGCTTCGGGGCAGCCTACATAATTCAGAAATAATACTTTTAAAGTTAAAACAGTGACAATTTCATTATCTTGTCACTTAAACAAAAATCTGTGTTTTACAGTTTGAACTTTGCATGAATTTCCTAGCGTACTCTATACTATTATTAATATGGTGGAGGTTAGGTTGCTTCTTTAAGATATAGGGACATAGAAGAAAAGTACCCCAATCCCTTTGCCCTGTGGGAGGCCGCAGGACCAGCACAGCTGTTGGTAAAGACTCCATTCCCTCCTTCCTCACAGCACACCCCAGGCGGACACAGGCTCATATGTGATCAGAAGTGCAAGTTCGATCTCTGTGTTTTATGCACATTGATTTTCAGAGTGCTAGACACCTCCTGGCAGTGTTGTCTAGATATTACCCCTTGGATGAATCTAAGGCTTTAACAGCTCTGGCTCTGTTGACCTCTTGTCTTGAGGTGATTTTGTGGACTTGTTCTTTTTGCTCCTCCTGGCTCGGAAACCCCAGGACGCCCTGCGCTTCCCTCCATAGCCAGCACCCCGGGATCCATATGAAGATTAGAGTAGGAGTTGGCCCCATTTGTTCCTAAGTTTCCTGGGCCCGGATGGCAGCTTTCTTTTCTCTAAATGCCCCTCTTCCTGCTTCAGCCTGCCTCCTGGCTGGCAGGAAATTTAAGCTGGGGGGAGTGTGGAGACCTCTCCTTCCTGGGGTCTTGCGGCTGTCCTGGAGTCCTCAGTGGTGACAAGGCAGGAACCGGCCTGCTTCTCTGTCCAGGGTGGCCTTTTTACTGATTGTCCCTCAGCGTGGGTGAAGACTCTGCTCTGGCTGGACCCACACGTGCCTCCCACAGCTAGTGGCCCTCTGACTGCAGATGCTGCCGCTGGTGCAGAGTGCCCAGTGTCACTAGAATGTCCCCGTGGCCCCTGGCTCCGCTTCCTGGAAACCCCCCTTCTCTCCTCAGTCTGGCCGCCTCCGTCTTGCCAGCTCCAAGGCCTAAGCCCCAGCCCTTTTCTTTATTCAGGGGTCATCTCGCTTCATTGCCTCTGTTGGGCCAGGGTTCTAAAAATCAAGGCCTGTAATTCCTTCTCTTGGGGCAGAGAGCCTAAACCAACAGGTGGAATGTGGGGGAGAAAATAACTTACTCCCCCGCCCAGCTCTGTGTAGCAGGAAGAACAAAACACACATGCATATCCTGGTGTTCAGCCACACTGGTTATAAGAAGGAATAAAAATATTTTCAGAACATTTCGTTCTGAAATAATGATAGACTCGTAGGAAGTCACAAAAATTAAATAGAATTCTGCGTGCCTTTCACCTGGCTTCCCCCACGGTGACATCCCCTGGCACATTACGACATCAACACCAGGAGTGCCACCTGGTTGGTGTATTACTGTGAACTACACCACAAACACTATTCGGTTCTCACCCTTCTTAAACCCACATTTGTTTTTGTGTTAAGAACAGTTTTAAGGTATGCGATGGTAAACTGCAAAGACAAATAAACTAAACCCTCGCTGCAGCCGCTGGTGGGGAGAAGCTCAGGGGTGAGCCGAGTCGGTGGTTAATCAGGGCCAGGCTCCTCTAATCTCTGCTGCCAGGCACGGCCCTCAGTGCATGCTTGTAAGCCCTCAAACCAATCCCTGCAATGTCCGAGAATATTTACCTAAGTAATTCACACTGATTTAAAAAAAAAAAAACAGAAATGGAAGCAGCAGCCGTTGTCTTCTTTAATGTCCTGGACTCCCCAGCCTCTGAGGTGTATGACCTGGGTATCCCCAGATGCCCAGACGTGTATGCTCCCTGCTCGATAGCAGATCGGCTGAGTTTGGGAGGCCAGGAAGGTGGAGTAAAACACCTGGGCACTCTCCAGGAAAGGAATTGCAAACCTTACAAGGCAGCAGTTCTCAACCTGTGGGTCACGACCCACAGGAACTGTATTAAAGGGCTGCGGCATCAGGAAGGTTGAGAACCACTGTTATAAGAAGTTAGAAATGTTGCAACTTGTTCATGTACATGTTTGGTTTTATTCAAGGTAAATTGATTTTAAATTGTATGCTTTGCAAATGCAGTTATCTTGTCCTTACAGAATCTCTAAGCCCTTGTAAATCGCCCCTCCCAGCCTCCTACAACAGCAGACTGAGGGAAGTTCCTCTTCCAAGTGGCCAGTGTTGGTCTGGGTTTGCAGAGCAGCCTGCAGGTCCCAAGGCCGGGCCCTGGAGGTCCCAGAGCTCCAGAAGACTCTGCTCCCGCCTCTCAGCCCTGCTGTGCTGAGGACAGCTGCCCTCAAAGGTCTACCACCCTGACCGCCTGTCCCCACCAACCACTGCCTGACACTCACCACCACCAACACCTGTCCTTAGTTCTGGCCACATGACACGCCAGCAGCCACTTCCCTGGCCGAGCTCCCGCTGCAGTGAGCTGCTGTGGAAGGTTCCAAGACTACCCACTTCCCTTTCTAGCTTCCTCAGAAGACGGAGAAGGTGAAATTGTTTCTCAGGTTAACAGTTCACACTCCATCCTGACATCTTGCCAGATCTTGGCTTAATTATCTTTAAATAAATGCTTTTGTCAATATAATTATTTGCCAACCATGAAAGTTAATTCAAGCGTTTTGTATAGATGAATCTGCCCAATTTTAAGGATCTGCCCACTTCTGCTGCTTTATAATTCTGTGAGCTAAGATAGAAAGTTCAAGTTCTTTTTTTTTTTAATTAAAATCTCCTCCTCATCCTAAGAGGGATGTGAAGCAGGATAGCAGTTCATAAATGCTTTTATTCACAATTTTGATGATAGACTGTTGCCACATGCCAGGCAGAATTCCAGGGACTGGGGAGGAAGCAAGGAGAATGACAAAGTCCCTGGGGACCCCCCAAAGTCCCCGAGCTGATGTTCTGGTAGAACTGGCAACGATAACATGCAGAGTCCCCCAAGGCTTACTGGAGCTTTTGAGATTAAGTATTTCTAGAAATTCTCTGAGCCCTGGCTTTTTCTCCTTAACATATCTTTCAAGAAATTAAGGTCAATTCAAGTATTGATAAAGGGTGCTAGTTAGATCCCTCCATACTTGTTGTGAACTAATTGCAAAGTTGAGTCTTAATTTCCATTAGATTTCCCAGCCCCTCCAGGCTGTCAGGTTTACCCCGTTGTTAATAGCAGGTCTCTGGTTAATTCATCTGTTTCAGCTGGATATAGTGAATAAAAATAATTAGGTTGGGAAGAATGTAACAGTGGACGTCAATCATCAATAATTCTGTGCTGCATGTGGCGAATTCTGATTTGATCCCATGTGTATAAGAAAGTTAATGTTCTCTGAGATGCAAGAGTCCATAGCAGATTGCGTGTGTTCACGTGTCCAATCATCTGACGCATGTTACTGAGTTTGGACCTTGGTTCCAGACAGTGGCTGCGCTCTGGAGATCCAAAAATGAGTGAGGATGCAGGTCACGTCCCCGAGCACACAGACTCGCTAGGCAGAAGGATGAGTAAATGATGATTATGGGAACGAATGAGAAGGCCCCCTAACTCCACCTGTGGGTTAGGAAAGTCTTCCTTGGGACTACCGTTTTGAGCAATGGTTGATGTGAGAAAACTGCAGGTGATTCAGGATGGCTGAGGCACAGAGTGGTGAGGGTGAGGCTGGGGGAAGCAGGGTCAGTGGTCTCTTGGCCCTTCATGTTGGAAATTTCCACACATGAGGGTAGCGCAGTGAGGTGTGTTGCCTTTTGGCATGGTATCTGTGGCTGCCGTGCAGAACAGATTGGAGAGAAGGCCAGCGGAGGTGAGGATTGCTCCTTTCTACAGCCCAGATGGGGTGGTGGCAGGAAGGCATGGGGCACGCGGGACTGGGCAGCATTAAAGAGGCACAGTTAACACACCATTGTGGAAGCAGCTCCTGGATTTGCAACAAGTTCCGGACTCTGTCCTCGAACATCATTTCAGCACTGAAACCTGGTGAGGCACAGCACTGTTGAACACAGAGCTTAGGGCTGGGCTCCGTCAGAATTGCATGTTCCTGCCAGCCTCAGAAGTCTGGTGTGGGGGGGGTGTTCTGGAACAGGCCAAAGATGTGGGGTGGCAGAGTGTCAGCTTCTCTGTGACCTGCCTTCCGTGCTGAGCCGTAGTGGAGCCTGGTTGAGAGGGAAGGGTCAGGAGACTCCGAGTGAGTCCCATTGGTGCTGACCACTTGTCCTGTGCCTGCCAGCAGATGACTTACTCTGGGGCCTGTGTGTCTCCATCTGCCCAGAGAAGGCTGAGAGGACAGGTGGGCCTGCAGGGTCGCTCTGGGCACTTCTTCCTGTTAGTTCTCTGAGCTCATTGCCTAAGTTGTAGGGTATTAGGAATTTTTAAGAACTGCTCTTAAGAACCACAGCTCTCTACTTAATTAAAGCAATTGTAGTGCTCTGGCCCCAGGGAGGTTTATTATTTTATTACTCTGGTCTCAGGACCATCTTGGGAAAGGAGGGGAAAGCTTTTATTTTCTCCTCGGAGTTGCAGTTGAGGAGACGTGAGCTGCTTCTCCAGCTTTGATCTGGGCCCCTTGCACAGTAGAGACCCGTTTGGGTCTTTGTTGACCCTACTCACAGTTTATTCTTTACTCAGGAATCTGTTTAAATGCTACAGGGCTCACAAAAGCCATCAATTTCTTTTCTTTTCTTTTTTTTTTGGATAGAGAAAAAGTTTTTTGTCTACTTTTATTAATGGCAAAGCTGAAGTAAAGGCATACTTATAAGGGCCTAAAGGCAGAAAAGACATTTTCATTCCAACTTTTTAATTGCCTGCATATCTGGTCTGTATTTTACTAGAGATCTGTGGTATGTGTTGGAAACAGAGACAGAATTCTATATATTACTAATTAATTACATCTTCTCAGGAGTCTGAGTGGTGGGAAAATGTCTGAAATCACCCAATATTCCAAGGGCTTGAAATCTAATGCATGAAATAAGCAGGGGTCACCCAGTTCCCATAATCTTTGCTACCCACATAGTTCATGGATAAACTCTGATTGGCTAGTATTTTATTCTAGTTTGCTAAATTTTCAGATTCAACTTAAAACTTACTTAAATTCATGTTTCTTTCTTTAATTTCAATTTCTGAACCTAAGGAAGAGGAGGGAGAGCCAGCAGCAGAAGAGGTACGGTCTGACATCAACCGCTGCCCAATCGGCTTGACTGAAACAGCTTTTAGGTGAAAGGATCTCAGCGTTAGCCACACTCTCCTCATTTTTCATAAGACAAGGACAACCACACACCCAGAAAATCTTCCTTTAACCTGCTGAGACGGGGAAGTTAGTTGGGGATAAATTTGCCCCGGGTTGGTGGGTAGAGAAGCAGGGCTTGGCTACTGGCCCTTCCTGAGCCTCTGGGGTGGGGGTGTCTTCAGTGGCTTCGGACCAGGCTGGGTCAGGGCAGCAGGTAGAAATTCCCTCTCCTGGCTACGTTTATGTTTTCAAACATTTTAAGATTAATCACTTTAATCAGAGGACTAAGTTAAAATTGAGATGTCAGGGATAGGGAGAATGATTCATCAAAAGTCACATGTATTACCTGGGTGGTCACCCATATTGAGCATACGGCGGTCACCATGACAGAGACTCCCAAATGTCAAAGTAACAGCCCCCCCCCCAAAAAAACCTTTTGTTAATTTTTGAAATTACGAAATAATTCATGACCTTTATAGAAAATTTAGAAAATGCATACGAAAGAAAAAAATGACAACAGCTTACAAACCCCATTACCCAGAGATAACCACTAGCTCTCCACACACGCACACACATGCCATTATCAAGTTGTGGTGACTTTTTTTCATGTAATATATCTGTATTTTGGGAGAATAGTAAATATAGATCTGTCTCTTTATTTTTTTTTATTTTTTTTGAGACAGAGCCTCAAGCTGTCCCCCTGGGTGCCGTGGCATTACAGCTCACAGCAACCTCCAACTCCTGGGCTCAAGCGAGTCTCCTGCCTCTGC